TCAGCTGCTGCTGGTTGTCTCCACACCGTCCCCCTCCTCCTCCTCCTCCTCCTCCTCCTCACCTGCAGCTCCCCGCCGCTCGCCGCCTCCGACGCACTGCCCGGCCTGGAGGACTTCAGCTACCCGTACCGCAGCATCCTGTCCCCGCTGCTCAGAGCCCTGTCCGAGCACGGAGGGTCCAGGTGGGACTCAGGCCTGAMGGGGGGCATGCAACCTGAGCACAGGTACGTGAAGTATCTGACGCGAGTTTACAAGAAAACCTCCCGAGTGCGGAGGAGCACCGATGGAGGTGAAGTCCACAACACCATCAGACTGATCAGAGCCCAGGATGAGTGTCTGAGCCAGAGCAACAAGGGTGAGCAGAACTCACAGAAAACTTTATTATAACAGACATTGTTTCATACTGAAAACTTCAGCTTTAATGTGTTAAATTAAAGTAAGTAAATTATGTTTTCTTTGAATATATTCTGGGGATAAAAGGGCCAGACATTATTCTTCTTCTGCTACCTTTCATTTTATTTTGATTTTTAATTTGTGTATTTTCTTTGTTTTTTTATTGTTTTTTTATGAAATGAATACATTTTTTAAATTGAATAGAATGGAAAAAAATTAGAATTTTGAATTAAATTGTTTGGGGACCAARTTGGCATATATTTGAACTGAAAGTTGCCTCAGCAGCACATCAACCAGGTTGATGTGCAACTTAGTTTGAGCTTTTTTTAAAGTCAAAACAGAGAAATTATATTAAGTGATACCTGATTTCTTTAGACTTTCTTGGCTATATTTCATAGTATTTCTTTGGACTTTGGCTGCTTCTTAACTCATATTCTGTCCATTGTGACATTTTTGTAAAAGTTATGAATCTTTTAAATTCCCTGCAGGCTTAGGGGGGCATATGACCAGTGGGCACCCCTAAAAACAATACTGGTGACAGAAAGAAAACTTCTTCTGATCTAAAACTAAACGGAGTTTCTGCAGGTCTTTAAAAAGCCTTAGATTTAGTTATCAAAAATTAAGACTTTAAAAAGTCTTAAATTTGTTTTAAAAATGTGCAAACTGGTCTTAAATTTGTTACTCAAAGGTCTTAAATTTTGTCMGGCAGAAGCGATTTAAAGTTCTTCGTCTCCCCCGGCCGTCTCTGCAGAAACATCGCTTATATTTTCGGTCTTAAATTTCATTCAAGATGGTGTTAAAAGGTCTTAAAAAGTCTTAAATTTGACTTGCTAATACCTACAGATACCCTGATAAAGTAAACCTGTCCATATCAGAAGTCTCCTGAAATTCTCTTCTGGCTTTTAGTTTTAGTTTGCCACGCCAGGAAGCAGCCTGCTACAAAAACTCAACTAGTTCTCATATCTCATCATAATTATTAAGGATAAAAATGTGAAAAATAAACAAAAAAGAATAATAATAAACAGCAAATTCATGATTGTTAAAAGGTTCACATTTTAAATTAGATTTTTTTCATACAAACGAAGCTAAATGTAAACACTATCATGTTAACTTTTATCTGACAAATAGGGTGACCAGTTCTCGAAAAGCCAAATATGAGACAAAGAGGGACAATTTCTCTGAGAATCACCTTTCATTGACTTCACCCTCTTCCCAGTCTTTGTTTTGCCACATTTTTTTACATAATTTCTTTTACATTCTGCATGAATCAGAACCATTTCCTTGTGCTGTTGTTTATTTGAACTCAGTGTTGTCGGTGTGCCGACTGGTTGTGATTGACAGCTGATGCTGGGCCTCWGATTTATTGAGGTAGATAGATAAGMCATTATCTAAACCTTGCAAACTGCAGCCACTAAAGGTTATAGATTTTTTTTTAAGTTTCAAGCTGCCAGGACAAGTGAATTAAAGCAGGACAGTCCTGCACAAATCAGGACATCTGCACCCTATAGTGACAGACTATCAAAACTATTGTCTTGAATTATTTTCAGTTAAGTCGATTATTATTATTATTACCTCCGCCAAGGGGAGGAGGTAATGTTTTCAGTCGCGTATGTCTGTCTGTCYTTCTGTCGTTCTGTCTGTGGACAAAATTACTCAAAAACTTGTGGACGGATTGTCATGACATTTTTACCACATGTGGGTACTGACCCAAAGAACACACCATTAAATTTTGGTGATGTTCCGGATCACGATGCGGATGCAGGAATTTTTTTCTTTTAATTCGAGCGAATCAGTAGGGTTACGCATTGTCATTACGTCAGTCGCATGCCTGTAGGAAACAGGAAGTATACGTCGCAAACTCGCTGGGACTACAGTGTCTACTGTCAGGAAGGTTGTGATTATTCTGTTATCAACTACTTCTGGCCATGTTCCACGCTGTCTGGAGACGTACAAAAAGAAATGCGATACTTCTTCACGTTACGGGAATAACAGGACACCGACAGCGGGAGGAGGGTCCTGCTGCAGCCGAGCCGAAGCTGGACTGTCCGCGGGAACAGCTGATCGACCTTGGGAGGTACCCCCTCCACATAACAGCTTGGTGTGATTGCTCTGAAGTTRGTGGGAGTGTTTGTGCTGAAAGTGCTCACACTGTATTTGGCTCAGTCACTCGCTTAAAAAAAKCCCACTTGCTTCATTCATGAGCCGACTGTACCAGGAAGCAGTTTATGAAGACAGTCAAACCATTACAAACTCTTAAAAGGGGATAAAACAGACTTTTTACACAGTGAAATGTGACTGATGAAAACTTAGGAGCTTAATCCCAGACCTGTTTAACGATGAATAACTTCGGGTGACGAGTTGACTTTTTTTTTTCACATTGGACTCCACTGAGAAGAAATCCCGTGCATACTGCCTGCTTAATGTTCACTATGTCAGAACTTATTCAGCAAATGTGTTTCCATGTCTGCTTTTGTGCATTAACTCTTACAGGACGGGGGAGATTGGTCTTGGCGGAGGTTTACACTCTCGGAGTGCTTCTAGTTATATTTTTTTGTTAGCAAAATATCTCATGAACCATGAATATGACTGAAACTCTCAAACAAATCATTGAACCTATTTCTACAGCTGATTAGCTTTTTATATAGAAACCTAATTTTCTAAATATAAAATGTWATGACATTTATATTTCGATAAACATAAGATCAAACCTGTTTGTCTTAAAGGTAAATGGATGCAGTTTGTACAGTCAAGTGGACACATTAGGTGTGTTTATATAATGAACACATGATTCTCCTTCAGTGAGACTAACCTGACTCAGTCCCTGGAGCTTTGTCTTCTGTTTCAGGACCGTTTCTGCAGGAGTTGTCCTTCAGTCTGGATCAAGTGAGGAGAAAAGAGCAGCTCCTGAAGTCAGCCCTGCTGTACAGTTTGGACCGTGACTTCCCGGCGCCTGTCCACTCCGCCTGTTACCTGAGCATCAGGAGGCGCGACCAGTCCAACCYGTGCCAGGCGTGTGCCGCGGTCCACCACACTCTGAACTTCACCCGCAGCAGGAAGGGCAGCGGGAGCTGGGCGGAGGTCGACGTCACCCCGCTCTTTCAGCACTTGAACAAACAGCAGAAGAGCGTCCACCTGCTCCTCAGCGCCTCCTGCACAGAGCAACAGGGAGTAGGAAGCAACGGCTCCACGGAGCTGCTGAAGCTCCCCCTGAGGTCGCCTCCTCTCCTCCTCTACCTGAACGACACGAGCAATGTCGCCCACCAGAGGTTGCCGCTCGACGCCGGCCTGGGCCGAAGGCCGCCTCGCACGTTTCAGAAGCAGAGGCGTGGGCTGAAGAAGCGATGGAGGAGGGAGTCTCCAAAAAGCAAGCCAGGTGACAAAAGCCTGGACGCGCAGCTGCCCGAGCTCCTCACGAGCTCCGAGTTCCCAACAACGGACTGCGCCCTGTACGACTTCAGGGTGCGCTTCAGTCAGCTCAAACTGGATCACTGGATTGTCTTCCCCCCGAAGTACAACCCCAGGTACTGCAGAGGCATCTGCCCCAGGACCATAGGCTTCATCTACGGCTCCCCCGTCCACACCATGGTGCAGAACATCATCTACGAGAAGCTGGACTCCTCTGTGCCCAGACCCTCATGCGTCCCCTCCCACTACAGCCCCCTCAGCATCATGACCTTCGAGGAAGACGGCTCCTACGTCTACAGAGAGTTTAAGGACATGGTCGCCACAAGGTGCACGTGTCGCTAAGCAGTCAACAAAACTCTGACCAGGCTTAGTGATGGCATGAATTTACCAAAGTGTTGCACAAAAAATCTGATCAAGAGCAGGTGTGTTTACTGAAACAAAGTGTTTTATTACCATGGTTTTTTTTCTTTTTGTTAAACAATAGTTGCAAAACTGTTTATTTCTTGTTCCTTGAGTTAACACATTTGTCGTTTTTTATGTGCAGCGCCTTTTTTCTGGACAAGAAGCTAACAGAAAAACAGTCACAATGTCTTTATAAAACCTTTTACTTTTTTATTTTATTTGTAACATGCAGCTCTATTTCTAACCTCCATCATGAAATGTAAGGTTTTCACGTCTATTTATTACTTCATGTCAGTAAGTGACTGCCTGCTTGTGAGTGTATGTGAGCCATGTGCTTGTGTTTGTACCAGTTTAATGTGACCAAATGTCTATTTATGCAAGTGGGATGAATTCACTGTGTTTCTGTGCTCAGATTGTGAATATTCAAAAAGATGACCTGTGAAAAGTGGGCAAAGATTAAAAAAAATATATAAATATATATAATGTGGTCTTGCTGAATGTTACCATGTATCCTTTATAAATGTGTTTGTGCTTAAGGTCTCCAAATTTTATGATGGCCTTTCAATAATTTTTATTTTAAATCTGGCTATTTTATTTTACTGATCTTCTGGTGGTTCCTCATCACTCAATCTGTAAAGTGCTAAAGGCCCCGTGGGACAGTTAAGTCTAATTAAAAACTTTTAAAGACCTCCAAACACCCTAAAGACCAACTAATCAAGATCTCTGAAAAGAAGAGTCTGACTGCAAATAAAGTATTAAATGCAACTAAAATTATTTAACCATGGAGCATTTTTATTACCAGTTCTTCAACCTGAACCCAGGTTAGGTTTTAAACCTGAGAGATTTGAGGTGACAGCTTTTCTATTTACTCTTCATTGTTTCCAACAAATTAGTTTTTCCCCCTAGTTGTCTGCGTAAACTACATGATACCCACTAGTTTTTACATTTCCATCACATTCAAATGGAATATTTTTTTCAACTGCAATGAACGTATGTTCACTAGGTGGCGCTGGTGTCATCAGCACCACAATCAATCACAGACATCACAGCAACGCGTGAAGAAGAGCTGTGACCGGAAGTGCGCAGATAAACAGCTTTGTTGAAGAAAAAACGGTGAGTCTCAAGGTTATAACTGAACGCTCGTATTTCTTCGCTTTTGATGTGTTTTATTTCTATCATGTATGACTTATCAGAGTTTTTGTAATGCATCTGATATAGTTTGACCTCTGTTTAAGCATTTTAAGCGCAAATTTAGGGAAAATATGTTGCTTAGCTTGTTGGTTAGCAGCTAGCGCTAACCGCTAACATGTCGAATGCTAATGTTATTTCAACTACTGTAGTTTCACAAGACACCTCTCTGTGTATTTGGTGTTTTAATTTTTGTTATCATAAATGAATTTAAGTTAATCTAATCCTCAGTAACGTCACACATGGTGCTATGCGGTCCGAATAACACATTTTAAAAGCATATTTGCTATAAAGGTTAGGCTAATCTTATTGTGTTATGTAAYTAGTTGAAGCCAGTGGAGTTTATTTAACTCAAACTAATTTGAGGTGATGTCACCAATTTTATAAGTAAAATGGAACGTGTCAGGTTCTCAGCGAAATTATGTGATGTTTATGGACGGATGGCTCAACATTAAGTTACAGTGAACATTTATTTATTTATTTATTTATTTATTTATTTAAGAAATCTTAAGTTAAAAAAAATCGAGGTTTTAAGTTGCAGATTTTCTGACGACTCGGTAGAAGTGTTTTAACACAAGGCCAGTTAAGTCATCCTCCCCATAGGTCATTTTGTTTTAAGAACTTATTRTCTGCATCATCGCATGTAATTAAGACAAAAACAAGAATTTAGGAAGTTATTTATATTTCATGGTAATTTTAACTGCGTGCTAAAATCATACTTTACAACCATTTTTACCTTCCATCATGGCAAAATGTACTTGTAACAAATACTGGAAATTTATTTTGATATCAGGTCAGAATTGCACTGTCTCATATTATTGGTCTAAATATTACATTTCCTTAAGATGTGTGTGCTTGATTGTTAACTGTTTTAATATTTGTGTTTTGTTTTTTTTCCAGTTCAACTCCTCAGTGAGCATGGGTCTCCACTTTGGAGATTTGGCCAGGATCAGGCATATAATCACATTCAGCCTGTCCCCCTTTGAGCAGAGGGTTTTTCCTCACTATTTTTCAGAAGTTCTCCCAAATACATGGAGAAGGTTCAGGGGTTCGTTCTTCCCAATCGCCTCTAGTAAGTCCTCACATCTTTTTATATTTATAACTGATYCAAGAACACATAATATCTTAATATTTTAGTGAACAGAATAAGCTTTTTTTTCCTCACTTGTTGGTCTCGGTGCAATTTACCACCTTTGATTGAATAAAACACATGGTATTGACCTCCTGCTGATGTGTACTTCTGTTTGCAGATGTGGTTTTGTTTTACACGGTGTACACTTGGGTCAACCATAAAAACGAACAGAGCAAAAGGAAGAACCCTGCCGACTACGCCAACGATGTATAAACATCCACTACCTCTCCACAAGCCGCTGTCTTTTCCAGCTCTGTCTAACTAATAAAGATGAAAACTATTTGTGAAGTCACATGATTTAGTGTAAACTAACCTGACTGGTTTGATGCTGTTCTTTTACAAATAACTATATAAATGTAAACTCTTCTGATTTGAAATCAAATTTATAGTGGTTGTTTAATTATTAATTCAGAGATTAATTTGGAAAATAGATTTAATCTCTATGTTTAACTGAATGACTTGTGTACTACAAGTCAGACTATTTACAAAAAAAATGTGTAGAAATCAAATTAAGACTCATCCTGAGGTAAGGAGCTTGTTTTGGAGCTGGGGGGGAGGGGGGGGGTGTTTCTGTAACTTTTTTAACAGATGGGATAAAGTGTCTGAGACTCCCAGCTCCCTGATTGGATGCTCAGAACCAGTGATGTTCATGCAGGTCATCACCACCTGCAGAGCTTTCATATCTCAGACCAAGACATCTTATGGAGTTAAAACGTTCTTTGACCTTGACAAAATGCAATCCTAATTTAGGCTAAAGAGAAAAACAAGCGATTTATTTGAAATGTAATGATACCTARAAAGTTGAGTCAAATATTTACAGGTAGTTGGATTTCACAATGAATACCGGCACACGCTTACGTTACACAACGTGCTCTTCTTATCCAAAAGAAGTGGTAAAACTACTTGTGCCTAGAAAAGACATGCTCTATGAGAAAATATACCATTTTAAATAATTCACAACATGGTAAAACTTTGGATGCAAACATACAAATATTGATAAAACATTCAATTTATAAAAGTCACTGGCTGTAGAATGATGAAAAACTGCCACCTTAAACATTATGTTAAAAACCACATTATTATGGAGTTTGTTCAATTTTTAAATAATTTACTTTTAATTTGATTCAAGATTGCCACAAGGCCAACTAACTAAAAAAATGGTTATAAGTATAATTTTTTTTAGATAGCCTAAAATTGTGTATGGTACTTCTTGAGCATGAGCCCAAACACAATCTGGGTTATAACAGATTGGGCAAGATCTTTGTTTTAAATTTTGCTAATAACTTAGGAGTAAACACTGTTAGGAAAATGTCTCATGAGTCACTGGGCATAATTTAATAATAATTTCAGAAGGTAATGTATATCCACAWTTCATTTACTTTTGGATTAAATTCAAACTTGGGCTGTTTGACAGATAAAATGTAACATTTAATGTGGTAATAGTAGTTTAGGATAATTTGTAATTTRAACACTTTGCCATGATAGAATGTGGTATGACATGAGGAAGCCCTGCTTTGCTTAATTTCCTGTCCATAAAACCAAGAACCACACCATTTTATTTTGGGGTTTCCAATTTAGTACAGCAGGTAAAAAACAATTTCTTGTGATATTTTGGTGTCTTGCAAATGTGTATATATAATATTAACAGCATAAAACAGAACAATATGCAAAGGTACAAATTATAAGGAACACAGAAAAAATAATACAAATTAAGATAAATACAGAACAAAGGTGAAAACCTATGCAGATGATTCTAGCAGTTTTTAAATGTACCGAATGAAGAATATGATTTAAATTTGTTCATGAAACAGGGGCGGGGGGGCTTATTATCTCTCCACTTACTACAATGAATATGGTATTTTGCTATAAGTATGAGTATATTTATGGCACTAGAAAATGTGGAATTTAAGTTATCCACATAAATGTCATCAACATCAACGTTTTAAGGTTGAGATTAATCCAGTTTCTTATCTCAGTCCTTCAAAATAAAGTAAAGGAAATGACGAGCACTACGGTGTAGTACCACTCCCGGACTGTAGGGGGCGCCGCTTCGCAGTGTCTGCTGTGAGAGACGAGTGTCAGAATATTCCTGAACGCTCTTTGGGCACACCGCACCGCACGCTGCTGCTCAGTTTCATGGAACAAGAGCGAGGGTGGATAACTGTCCGTTGACTGGAAGCCCCCGTAGCTGCTGCTGTCCGCCTTTAGCTCTCGACTTTATTATTTTGTTCTTTCGCATAACTCCTAACACGTGAGTTTAATTAGTGGAAAATGTCGGTTGTAGGTTTTGACGTCGGGTTTATGAACTGCTATGTAGCGGTAGCTCGAGCCGGAGGCATTGAAACTGTCGCCAATGAGTACAGCGATCGATGTACACCGTAAGTATGAGCGCTGGCATTCTTCGTGTGTGATTTGTGTCGTGTTTTGTGCGCACGTACCGAACTGGGGTGAAAAATCTTTCCAAGATCGTAATAATACTGAGTTTGGTTAAGGTTGCTACCTAGCTAGTTAGCATGCTAACAGATTTCATAACAGGAAACACGGCATGTGATAGCTGATGCTAACGCTAGCTAAACCTAAATTACTCTATTTAAAAAAACCGTTTATTAACTACGGCACATATTCAAATACTTGTTAGGAGTTGTAATGGAAGTACGTAATTTAGAGACTGCCATGGTAGCGGTCAGGTGACTGAATGGACACATGATGATGTTGGAAGGAGGCCGGCTGCATCCTTCCTGGCTGTCAAATACGGCTTGATCAGTCCATTGTGCTGGATCTTCATGTACAGAACTGTTAGTACAGAGATCAAAATGGACCAAATAATCAAAGACAAAATTCTATAGTACAGCTTATTGTTTCAAATTACAGAACAAAATTAAAGCTTGGCAAAAATTATAATTATAATAGTAAAACATGGGGTTTTAAATACTTGATCTTACTTTGATTTTTAAAATATAGCTTTTTGAAGCTATATTGACATTTTAATTCTTTATCTAAAAGGGACCTAATTTAACTAAAGTTTATATTCTACTGTAAGTGCACAATTTCAGTAACAATAAATCACTAATATATGTCGTAAACAGCGTTTTTATTATACATTAAATCATTGTGACAAAATGCAAACATTGAAATAAGAAATTTGATTTAATTGTGTTTTGTGATTGCAGAGCATGCGTTTCATTTGGACCAAGGAATCGATCAATCGGTGCAGCTGCAAAAAGCCAGGTATGCTTTTCTGTGACGCTCTGAGGGCACTGGGCGTGTTATCGTTAAAAATGACTACAAATTAGAGCTGGGCGATATGATCTAAATTTTATATCACAGTATTTTCAACATTTTCACCGGTTTCACAGTATGACGGTATTTTTATCTTCATCACAGCTCAGCTGATAATAAAATGTACAAACCCTGCTTATTGACTTTTTTTTCTTTTACTGTACCTCTGTCTGTCGCTCTTTTCCTCCTCTGTGTCTGTTCTTCTCTGACTGGTGGTTGGAGACAGTAGTCACGCATTTTGGTCCAGTCATGAAGGAGGAGGTTTAAGAAAAGATTATGATTGGGTCTATTTTATGTTATTTATTAAAGCTTATCAGCACGACTCACCTTGCACACCAGTCAATTCCAACTCCACTACGAACTACTTCCTGCAGGCTTTTCACAATAGAACCACGTTAAGTCTCCATCAYCATAACGTCTCCATATTAACTAACCGCGTTAAATCTAACTGTGCACGTCACTGAAGAGGTGTTTACTACATTCAGCGACAGCGAAAACGGGATGTTTTTTTAAACGTCAGTCAATATACGCAGTGGAATCGCCACCTGCGGCTGCAACTAGCTGCTCCAAACATTAGCATGCTAACGCACATAGCAGTGCAGCAAGGAAAAATGTCCCCCGGGAAACAACAGTTCACTGGCGGCCGCGACGAAACGTTCCTCTAAACCGGAAAGTCCGGTATTCAAAAAATTCYTATCATAACAAAAATAAAAACCGGTATTCGGTACAAAACGGTATACCACCCAGCACTACTACAAATAATAGTTGGTTTTTTTTATGCTGCACTGAGCGTGAGCAGTGCTGAACTTGATTACAGTACACATACAGTCCAGCCCCGACGCTGCACCCAACATWTGAGTCATAAATTTGATTTACAGTTTGGCTTCTGTTTCTCTGTGCAGGTTGTCACAAACTGTAAGAACACAGTCCAGGGGTTCAAAAGGTTTCATGGCAGAGCCTTTTCAGATCCTTATGTGCAGTCCATCAAAAACAGCCTGGTTTATGATATTGCACAGATGCCTTCAGGAACAACAGGCATCAAGGTAAGAAGATCAAAGTTGCATTTGATCAACTTAAATTCTTCCTGCTTCTCACATGTACTGTATMTTTTAGATTGGTCAGATTTAGCCAGATTTGGTCAAACCAAACTAAGCATATTTTCAGACTCTTGTCTATTAAAGCTACACGTTTATACCTTGCTCATCTTGTTATCATGAGCAATTACAGAGATGTGGATTGATATGTCTTACTAATTGGGATGACCCTGGAAAGTTAGTCTGAATTTTAATTTTAGTATATTTTTATGAGGATTTTTTGATGTTCTTTATAAGAGGAAACCTCAAACCATATTGGAAATCAGAATTTTCCATCTGGTACAGAAAATAGATTCATTAGCGTGCAAGAAAAATAACAAATTTAGTTTTTTTTCCTAATCAGTCATTGTTAGTTGTTGCTCAAAAAAGTGCTTCAGAACATTTTTTTATTATACTTTGGACATTTCCTTCAAGGGACCCATAGATGATGTCATATTATTTTTGAGAAAATGCAACTTTTTCGACCAATGCACTGTAGCTTCCTTTTACCTCACTGCACATCCTTGTGACTTAATTGTTGGTTTGATGTGATGAGTCATTACCCTGTGCTCTTTCAAGGTGCCTGTAAAACCAGTGATTCTCACAGATTGTTCACTGTAAATGTTAGCAACATTAAAGATAAGTCAGGTGCTCCAAAACAAAACATGGTAAAGTAAAGATTCTTGATTTGTAAAATTCAAAACATCTGCAGGTGGTTAATAAATTTCAGTAATTGATATATTTTCTTTTTTTCCCCAGTGTTTTTATTAAATTATTCAGTTTGATGTTCTGTATTTGAGCTTTCAGGTAAAACCAGTAAGTGCAAGACAAACAGGAAGTTGAATGATGTTAGTGTTATCACTTGCTGAACTTTGGTACCTGGTCTCTGACAGAACTCTTTAAGTTCTATCAGATATATATTATAAAGAGCCGACT